GATGTCCCAAAGTTCCAGGATAGAAAGGGGCCTCGGGGCCAGCTGGCCCAGCTGCTCCAGCTGGCAGGCCACCTCTGCTGGTGGCCTCCTCCTTACCACTCTACCTTCCCAAGACCCAGGATTCTCCCCACCACCTGCACAGGGGCCGAAGGGCTCTGTGACGTCCCCTCCCAGTGCCCACTAAACCACTGGTGTCTGAGTACCAGCCGCATTTCCCAGTCCTTCTTCTCCTGGGTTAAGGTCACCATTGCCACTAACGTGGTTACTGAGCCCCTTGCTATGTCCCCTCAGCCCCCTGGACTCACTCAGGGAGTCAGTCAGCTCTTCAAGGGCTCTGACTTCAGCCTGTGCACATGACTTCATGTTACAGCCTATCTACATGAGGCCAAAACCACCTGGGCTGAAAATTACCTCCCACCTTCCTGCACACCTGTGCTCTCCCCTTTCAGCTTTTCTCCTACTTGACCCCCATCACGGTCTGCCTCCGTGAGGCATGAGCAGGCTGGACCTGCCTTCACTGCCTCCCCCACCTGTGCTCAATGCAGGCAAGAGAACCTGCAGAGGTGGAGGCACGCCTGTCCCCGCCTGGGCACAGCCTGGCCTTCCTGCCCCTCCCAGCTCTCCAACCTCCAGCTCCCCTCTCTCCACAGGGAGATTTCCCAAGGGTCCTGCTCAGCTCCCCTCTAGTCTGTCACCCCTACCCCCAGGGGTGGCCCGCCTATAGCCCCTTGGGGGTCTGAGATACATTGCAGCCTGGGGGAGGAAAGAGGTGGCGTCCCCAGGGATGCCACAGCAGGTCCTACACAGCAGGACCACAGGGATCCAACTCCACAGCAGAGCATGCACCTGTGCCCCAAGTCCAAGGAAAGAGCACATACTGGAAAGGCAAGCAGAAAAGAGAAGGGGGAAGAAATCTGAAAGGAAGTATGCAGATGGGTGGAGAGTGGGTGTAACCCCTGCTCTGTCCTTCACTCATTCCCTCAGATCGCCAAGCATTGATAAGAGGATTGTTCTAGCCTTTGGGTTAAAATTCCGAACCAGAGCAAGGAAGCAGTACTGTCACACCTCCTGGGTAAAGAGCCTTAGTGCTCCTCCCCTAGAAGGGAACAGCCCGCTGGGGACTGTTCCTGACACAGGCCACTTCTAGTTCTGTCCTGACTGGCTCAGGAGAAAATCACAGGTGGCTGCTGTAGCAGGATACCCTGGCTACCAGGGAGACGCTCAGAAATTTACCCAACATGCCCAAAGCAGAAAACCCTCTGTCCAGTGGCCGGTGTTGTTATGAGCTGCTGACTGTTTGCTTTCACCGACCAAAGCCACACAATCACTTCTGAGGAGCAGGCATGGAGGCCAAGTGCACACACATCCTGGGTGGCTATGCAGGGTGGGGACTGCCCACCCCAAGCCCACCTGACAGGGAGCACGCACACACCCCCTTGTATAGAGCCCACGAAGATGCCACCTGTTTCCACATTACTACAGACGGCCTCACCTCAGGGGCCCAGACAGAGCGCTAAGCACCGTACAGTAACCCGATCTTGGAACACCAACAAGATGCAGAATAAGACACCTTGAGTCGCAAACTATGACCTATTTTTTCTTTTCTTTCTTTCTTTTTTTTTTTTATTTTGTGGCAGTACTGGGGTTTGAACTCAAGGCTTTGCACTTGGTAATCAGGCGCTTACCAAGTGCTTACCTGCACTTGAGCCAGGCCCCCAGCCCCTGAGAACCAGGCCCTATTTATCCCATCCCAGGCCTACGGGTCACCTGTTCCATGGTGTCCCCTACACCTCCCCAGGCTCAGCTCTCATCACCTCCACTTGGGCCAGACCAGGTGTGGTGATCCACAGCTGGCTACCTTCTGCTCTTGGTCCATCTCTGTTCTTTCTTTTGTTCACATTGAGCTAAAAACTCGCCTCTCCCGGGGCCCTGCTCCCCACTGACCCCTGAATCCACAGGACACCTCCAGACACGCAGAGCAAGCAACCTTTCCCACGCTTGCTGGCAAAGGGCCTCCACATCAAGTACTGCTTCGTCTCCCCAACAGGCTGTACGCTCCTCGCTTACCCCCCCATGCAGCCACAGCCTGCTGCATTCTGCAAAGACTGTTTTCAACTGAACAATTCTGTTCAATATCCCCCAGCCCACCACCCCCAGTCCTTATCAGATAAGCCATTGTGTGCCCTGTGGCGGGGAGGTGGTCACTCAGTCCCCTTTCTCTCTCTGTCATCAATTCCTTTGCACCAAAAATCTTTCACCCGGGGTGAGCAGCCCGTGAGCCCTAACTGACCCCAGCCTGAAGTGAAGCAGTACTTCCCTGCAGGAGGGCCAGGTTTCTTCTTCTTGAAGACCCCCGGGCTGCTGAACTGGGATGGCAGCCAGCTACGAGAGGAGCCCAAAAGTTGGCAAGGGGCACCAGGTGCTGCCAGAATTCAGAACATGCCCAGAGAAAACGGAGATGTGGTGATCACTCCGGTGTAGACATCAAACAATAAAGGTTAGGCTGGAGGTGTGGCTCAAGCAGTAGAGAGCCGGCTTTGCAAGCATGAAGCCCTGAGTTCAAACCCCACTCCCACCAAAAATAAATACAATTAAAAAACAAACAAACGAACGATAAAGCTTGCGGGGTACTGGGCTTCCCAAGAAAATGGTCTCTCAGCAACTGAACTCGGTAAATAGATTTTGTGCCACGGAAGTGTTTCAACACAGCCTTGCAGACAACAGATAGAGGGATAGACAGGTGAGTAGGTCAGGAGGAAAACAGGTAGGTAGGCAGGTAGGCAGGTACGCAGACACGTGCTTTTTGATGAAAACATACTTCCTTTCACTGAACTTGGCACGTGCCGGACAGGCCATGTTTGCCAGTAATGTATCTGACCTGCGCCAGCTCAGTTCATTCCCACTAGGACCCTAACTTAAAGGTACGACTGCTGCCCCCACTTACTGAGGAGAAGGATCAAGACTCAGGTGTCAGAAGCTTGCCCGAGGTCACAGCCAGCGAAAGGCAGAGTGGGAATAAACTCCAGCCCCAACTCCAAAAGGCATGTCCTCACCTAGCAAGGTTAGATGGTAGGTGCTGCACAGAAGGTCGATTTGGGATTCCTGAAGTTACAACGCCCGCCGGCGGAATGAGGCCACTGTTGTAACCAAAATGGTGCAACTGCCGCCAACAGTAAAAGTACAGTATCACAAACACAATCGGTGCCAGCGCTGAAATTATTCACCCGTGCCAGTCTTCCCACTAGAATTGCGTAAGTCACAGCACCAGGGAGCAAATCTGCCTTCCTTTAACAAAGTCATCCAGCTGGCAGAGTGGCTCAAGCAGTAGAGCGCGTGCCTAGCAAGTGTGAGACTCTGACTTCAAATCCCAGCACCGAATATATATATATATATATTTTTTTTTTTTCACTACAGAGAGGGACATGAAAACCCAGAATTGCTCACATGGGATTTAATGTCACGTCCACTCTGAGTCTGTGGGGGTAGCAGGGTGAGGGTCCCTTAAAACCCAGGCCCTCTGCCTGCTGTGATCTGGGAGTGGCACAATGCAGATCTGGGTTCAAATTCCAGCTCTATTACTTATTGAGACCTTGAGCAAATGTCACCTGCTCTCACACACTCTGCTTGCTAGCACAGGGGTGTACATGGCAACCCCCTCAGGGGTGGCTCCAACACCTGCAGTTCTCCGTCAGGTGTTGAAAGTGCTACATATTCCACACTTAGAAGCTTTTTTCTGCGAGTTTTTTTACTGGGGTTTGAACTCAGGGCCTACAATCTTGAGCCACTCTATCGGCCATTTTTTGTGATGGGTTTTTTCCAGATAGGTTCTTTCGAACTATTTGATGGCTTTGAAACTTGATCCTCCTGAGTGGCTGGTGTAGCACATGTTAAACAGGTCTTTATTTTTTTATTTTGGTGGTACTGGGGTTTGAACTCAGGGCCTCACACTTCCTATGCAGGTGCTCTACCACTTGACCCATTCCACCAGCCCTTTTTGGTTGGGCATTTTTTGAGTCTCGAGAACTCTTTGCCCAGGCTGGCTTCGAACCTTGGTCCTCCTGATCTCTGCCTCCTAAGTAGCTAGGATTACGGGCATGAATCTCGGTATGTTAGGTCTTTAATGCAAAAATACAGTCTGTACAAGTCCAGATGGGCCCACATACTGCCAGCACAAGTCCTTCAAGAGGTGACTGTGCTGTCCTTTTTCTCTCCAGCATATGACACCTTGGACTCTCTTCTGACTTTGACACTAACTTCAGCATTTCTTAGTTTCTTTCCAGGACAACTGCATGCACTTGACCAAGTATAGAGAAACCAAACCTCCTGGTAGGACGTCTTTCTCAGGCCACCAGAGGAGCTGACACTTGGAACATCAGGCGTGAATACATTTATAAATGAAGAATCATTTCATACAAAGCCACGTTTGAGTCCTTAAAGTTAAGGGTATTATTCGTGTCTGCTTTTAATGCAAACTTGGTAGGGTTCTAAAGAGAGGCATTTACCCAATGTCCCTGTCCTGTGGAGAAGGAGCCAGCACAATGGTCTCAGATGCAGGAGTTCTGAGCAGGGTCACAGCACGAAGGAAGGCGTGCTGAGAATAGAGACCCAGCTGCTTCCTCTGCTCCCTGCTTCCCTTGCGTGAACTTCCTGTGGCACCAACAGAACAAATGATGGACCCTGGAGGCATCAAGAGGCTGTGGCCATCTCAGAGAGAAAGGGTGGCCCACAACCTGCCCTTCCTTCAACGAATATATGCCAGCCCTGGGTCAGGGATGCAAGTCTAACAGCAACTCAAGAAGCAGAAGTACTAGGACTTAGCCATGACCACAAGGGCTGGAGGGGGGGGTAATCTAAATGACCCTCAGGATCCCAGGACAAGTGTCACAAGCCACCAGCATGGGGGTATAGAATATTCCTGTCCTTTTCACCTAAGAGCTCCACGTTCAATGATTAGTTGGCAGTCCTCAGGAAACAGAACAACAACAGCCCTATTTCCCAACCTTGCAAGGTGGCGATCGCCCTGGCCAGGGCCACCTTCTCTCAGCAGTCCAGTTCCTCTCATCATTAACTTCCAAAACATTCCTGGATGTGAGAACAACCCTCGCAGAAAGAAGGGCAAAGGTTGACGTTTCTCGGAGCTGGGCTGCCGTGACTGAGCAGGGTAAGCTCACTCTGTATTTGCATGCTGAAGTTGAAGGCTACAAAATGCAACAAATATTTGAAATCAACAAGAGAACAAGGCGTTCTTTACTTGTGTTAGACAGGAGATTTAAAAACAAAACAAAGCTGGGCGCCAGTGGCTCACGACTGTAATCCCTGCTACCCGGGAGGCAGAGATCAGGAGGATCAAGGTTCAAAACCAGCGTAGGGAAATAGTTCGTGAGACCCTATCTCACAAATACTCAACACACAAAAAAAGGGATTGATGTAGTGTCTTAAGTGGTAAGAGCACCTGCCTACCAAGATGAGGCCCTGAGTTCAAACCCCACTACCACAAAAAGAAAACCAACCCTGCACAAAAGGGGACAGAGTAAAGGAGTAAATTTTCCCATTTGCCCCCTTTTTAACTTTGTCCTGTACTGCCTGCTTTTAAAACAAAAAAGTCCTTGTAAGAAAAGTTCAAGTTTGGCATAAGCCATCCTAAGACTATTAAGGCCTAGTTCAAATGTGAGATAACCTTTTTCTTTTGCTAGGCACGCCTACCACTGAGCTACACCCTAGTCTTCCCTCCTTGTTTTACTTGTTGGACAGGGAAGGGGTCTCGCTAAGCTGCCCAGACTGGCTCTGAACTCCTGGGCTCAAGGGAAACCCTGCCTGGGACTCCGAGTAGCTGAGGTTTCATGGGGCTGGGAATCTCCTAAACACATTTAAACATTTTATCTTGATCCACCCTTTTCTTGTTAACGCAACAATTCTTCCGGAATTCAAGTTCAGGACTCTGGCCTGCCAGTAATAACTGCAGGGTGACTAAACATTTTTTCCAACAAAAGAAAAAAATGCAAATCAAAGTGCAGAGCGGTCCCCGTCCCTCCCAAGCGCCCTCAGAGCTGAGCAGCAACTTCCACCGAGGAGCGAATGCAAGCTTGGACCGTGTCCTCCCTCGGAAGGGCACCGCCAGCGACTGTGGTTTCCGCGCCCCGCCCCTTCCCCACCCCCGGGCGGGCGTCACGTGACGGCTGAGAAAAGTAGGGGAAAGGTTACCGCGTGCCCCGCCCCCCGGCCGGCGCGTCCAGGGCGCTCGGATCCTGTTCCACCGGCTGTGCCCACGGAGACCTTCCGCAGTGAGCATCCATCCCAGGGACGGAGGGCGAGATGCAACGCACCTCTCGGTGGGAAGGTCGAGCCTTGCGGTGCTCACCCTGGCAGACAGTTATGAGCTCTGTCTGTTCGGTGACAGATGTCACATCCGACAACCTGGCAACCAGGGAGAGCCCAGGGCGCGTCTGAAAGGGGCTCACTGCGAAGCCCAAAGTCAAAACTGAACGGTGTTTTTATGAATGGGCACGCAGGGCCAGGGTTGGGTAAGGGCAGGCCGGCGTCCCAACACTCCCGGGAGACCCAGGCCTGACCGCTCGGTGACTACTGGTCAGGGGCCCCGGCCAAGTGCGCAGAGGCGGCGGAAGGGACGCCAGTTTAATTCCCTTCATCTCCAGGTTAGGTGGCTTGTTTCTAGTACAAACTCGGAGGGTTATTTTGGCCTGTGCAGGCCACTTTTGATGTGTGCTCCTAAACCTGTCCCTGTTAGAGTCCAGCGACAGTTAAGATGGAGTTCAAGTGGAAGGTAAGTCCAGTCATGCTTCCGAGGAAGGAAACCAGCAATTTACATGAGAAAGCCCACTGGCTCTGGGCACAGAGGCAAAATCAACCCAGAGAATCAAGCTGAATGCTGATGGTGCCCACACCAGCTTACAACTGGACGCATTATTGTCCTCCTTACTCGCCCAGAGTCGCCTTAAATAAATGAAGGGGGGGTACTTCCTGGCACGAATAAAAGGCCAGTGCTGCCCAACGCGTTTTATTCATTTGGCTTGTGGTTTTTACAGAAATAAACATGCCTGAATATCTGGAATGACCAGAAATCAGACGCTTGCAAAAAATGGTGTAACAAAATACACGTTTCAAAAGGTTAAACTCACTTTCATTTTATTCGGTAACTTACAGTTACGTTTCCTACTGCCCTTCATGATGTTAATACACGGAGCAAAGAGGAACTGTATGAGTTGGTAATATTAAGTTTGTTCGGGTTTAATCTGGTAATCACGTGTAATTTTTTAACTCTTTAAGGTTTGTTTAAAGTAAGATCAGCCTTGTCTTGGTGGCCTGCGGCTTTAACGAAAGCCAGACCCCGATTTACATTATAAAGACGCTGACCCACCGCCTTCCCCAACTAAGCGAAAGGAACCTGCTGCTGGCTGGCCACGGAGGCCGTGCGGATCCAGGGGCTGCCCAGACCGTGCCGTCGGGCTCCAGAGCCAAGTTTGCGGAGTCCTGAACACGTGACGCCCCCCCCCACGCGGCCTGGCGCGACCTTGGGCAGCCTCTCCGCACCCACCTGCCCTTGACCCCGAGTGAGGGGCGCTCGCAGGCCGGGGCCGGTCCTGCTCACCGCGGCGCTCGCACCGCACCGGTAGTCCCCGCGCCAAGGGCGTGTCCAGACGGCCGCACTGGAGGTGCAAGCCAGGGAGGGTGGCGGTGGCGACCTGCCAAGTCCCGAGGCCAAGAATCCCTCCTGCTCCCGCACTGTACCTGGATGTGGGCTGACCGACCCTCGGACCATCAGGCCCAGTACACTCGCGGAGTGGGAGGGGAAAGGAGCGGGGAGAGGAACCGGTGGCCCGATTGGACCCGGGACAGAGGCGTCCCAAGTTCCGGGCGCCGAGCATCCCTCGCTCTGCCGCAAGAGCCTCGTCCGCGGGCAGACCGACCCTCGCGCGGTCCCCAGACCCAATCCAAACGCCACCAAGATGCACAGAGGACCGGGGACAGGGTGCAGGCCACCCCGCTGGCCCGCGGCCGGTGGCATCCTGTCTAGTCCCGATGGCCAAGCATCCCTCTCGCGGTCACACTGGACCCAACTTGAGGGTTAACCGACCCCAGGCGGGCCCCAGACCCGTGCGCCGTGCAAGGTGCGGGCTTCCAACCCGCTCCAGGTTCGGACTCTCGGTGAACCCAGCTGTCCGAGGACACCGCAGGAGTTCCACCCCCCTACCCCCCACCGTGCTCGACCGAGCAGCGCCCCACACACACCCCGCAACCGTGCCCGGGTCCCCGCAGCCCTCGCGCGCCCCTCGCCCGGGGCCGCAGGGCGGCACCGCAGCCCTCGCCACCCGCGGCGCGGCCGTCCTTACCGAGTCGGCGGACAGCGGCGGTAGAATGAGCGAGCGGCGCGCGGGCGCCGGGGGGCGGGAGGGCTGCGGGCGAGGACGAGCGCACCGACGCCGGCTGCCGGCGATTGGCTGAGCCCGGCCGGGCTGCGGCACCGGAGGGCGGGAGGCTCCCGGCGCGCTGCGGGCCTGGGCGGGGCCTGGATGGGGCGGGGCGTCGGGGGCGGGGCCCGGGAGGGAACTGTGGGCTCCCACGCGTGCACGCCCCGGGCGGCCTGTGTCCCGAGGGGTCTTAGGACAACAATTCTTCACCTTGTGAGCCTCAGTTTCCTTGCCTGTCAAAATGGGCCAAATCATTGGAGCCGTGGTCATAAAAAGCGTTTAGCACGGTGCCTGGCTTAAGCTACCCGTTTGTAGGCATCCTCGCGCAAAGTCCCCATGGCATCCCTGCCGGACTAATGCTGTTTATCCAGAAAAAGAATGACTAACTTGCTGAGTAGGGAGAAGTGAGCCCACGCCCCAAATCGGATCTATCCCCCGAGTGACTACTGTTGCCATCCAGAGGCAGCGAGGCTCGCGGGGCCAGCTCTAATGGGCTGCTCCTCAGATAGGCGGACATCGGTGGCTCACACTTGTAAACCTACCTACTTGGGAGGCTGAGATCGGGAGGATCGCGGTTCGAGGCCAACCCAGGCAAATAGTTCGTAAGACCCCCCCCACCCCCACCCCCCATCTCCAAAATAACCAGAGCCAAATGGACTGGAGGTGTGGCTCAGGTGTTAGAGCGCCTGCTTTGCCACCGTGAAAACCTGAGTTCAAACCCCAGTCCCACAAAAAGAAAAAAAAAAAAAAGCCTCCCTTATGGGGGTTTGAGAGATTTAGGAAAATAATTAGGGACCCGGAGTCTGGCAGGTCGCAGGCATCCAGGGTCTGGGAAAAGAGGACAGGACAGATCTGCCAGACATGGCAGGGGGCTCTTTCTTTTCTTTGCCCCCACTGCCCCCAGGCTCCAGTCGGGATCCTGCATACAACAGCTGCTGCATAAATGCACTGACTTTATGAAGACCTGGCCCTCCTCACGGTCAAGCACTTCTCGCGAAAGCCTCCATCTTTGTGTTTGGTGGTTACTGCGGAGGTTTAGAAGAGAAAATGAAAGTTGTCCCTTGATCCCGCCCCCAGTTACATTAACCATTGCCTTTCCTCCCCGCCCCCCCAACTCGTTGCTTTAAAGGAAGGAAAAGCGTTGATCTGTGTGTCACTCTGTGTTCACTTAGCCTAGGCCGGGGACATAGCTCTCTGTGGGGACATAGACACAGCCAGGGTCTTTCATTGGGCTGCACAGTTTTTGTTTGACGATCTGCTGTGATGCATTCAACTGGTCCCCAAAGGACATTTCGGGACTCGCTTTGCACCGTTGCAGGTAAATTAAAGCCGCAGTGGCCCTTGACGTTCTCTGGGCATCTTTTCTCCTGTAGAACTGATTCCTTGAAGTGAAGCAACCAGGCACATATGACACTTCGGGGCCACTTGGGAAGCTGCCACCCGAAAATGCTTTCCTCCCCCCCCCCCCCGCGCCAATTACTCATCTTTGAGTCCTTGCCAGACCTAAAAGGGGACAGAATCTGTCCTTATTTTAATTGCATTCTGTGGACGCTTGAAGTTGGCCTTTCCTCCTCCTGCGTGTTCTTTTCGGCCCGCGCACCTGCAGGACGCCGGCTCCACTGCCTCGGCCCTGGCCACTGCAGCGTCGCCTTCCCGCCTCTTCCTACTCTAGGCCTCCATGGCTTGTGCCATGAAAGTTGGCACCTCGAATGACCTTCCCGCCTCTCCCTGACACCCCAGCCCTGCCAGGTCCCCAGCCCAAGGTCACCTCCCCATTTCCTCAGTGCCCTGTTTTGCTTCAGGCTCGGCTTGGCTTGGCGCCTTGTCTGTTGCGAAGGTTCTGCGGCCTTGACCGCGCGCGCCACCTCGGTGCCACCTGCAGGCCGGGCGGGGCAGGAAGCATGGGCGGGGACCGGGTGGCGGGGACCGGGTGGCGGGGAGCGCGGTCTCGCCGTGCACCGGGGACGCGCAGTAATGAGCCCATGCCTTCCTGCCACTCTACGAGTAAGGGCCGTCCACACCCGGACTCTGTCCCCTCCCCCGGCCCGGGGCTGCAGCGACCCGGGGTGACTTAAGAAAGAGGCCCGGTGCGGGGTCGGGGCGGGGGGCGGGGGCGTGCTCAGCCCCATCTTGAGTTCCCTGCGGGCCCACTCCGAAACCGCAGCAATCTTTCTTGAACTCTGTTTTATGTTAGTTTTTTTTTAGTTTTTCAAATTCTTTCCCAGCGTTGGTCAAATACATTGTAGCTGTGGACTCTTTTTTTTTTTTTTCAAGCATAATGAAATTTTCTTTAGGATTTTTGTTTTGTTGTTGGTTTTGACTGTACTGGGGTTTGAGCTCAGGGCATTGAGCTTGCTAGACTGTTCTTATTCCTCAAGCCACACCGCCAGCCCTTTGGAAATTTTTTATCTTATTTATTTAGTTAGTTAGTTTTTATCACTACGTTTGTCTTTCTTTACTCTAAAAATGCCTTTTTTTATGGAAAAAAAACCCTTAAATTACAAGAACAGTGTAATAAAGGCTTATACAACCAAAACTCTGCATCAGCAATTAGCAAGCTTAGGACCCCCAGTGTTTGTCTTTGTTCCCACCCACTATTTTCTTTTATTATTTTATTTGTCTGTCTTGGTGCATTGCCCAGGCTGGCGTGAAACTTCTGGGCTCAAACCACCCTCCTGCTCAGCCTCCTGTGTCTGTACCCAGGTACGTAAACCTTTCTTTTTTTCTTTTTTCCTTTTTTTTCCCTGTGCTGAGGATGGAACCCAGGGCCTAATGCCTGCGGGGCAAGGGCTCTACAAATGGAGCCACATCTCCAGCCCTAAAGATTTATTTTCAAAAACATAACCCACAATGCCATTGTTCAGCCTACAATCAATGACACATGTGTGAAGCCCCTCCAGCCTGCTCCAACCCGACCCCCTCACCCCCTTGCTGGCTTTTCCCTGCAGGTCCTGATCCAAAAGTGTATAAGAGTTTTTGGAACTCAGCTCCATGTCCCATAGGAAACAATGTTGTAATCTCAGTGTTGGGCTTCCCCTCCTCCCTGAAGCCCTGGGTGCCCCTGAACTTGAACCTTGAGCTCCTACTGTTAGCATTCTACTCGAGTAAGTAGCAGAGGTTATATTTGCTCAGCCAGCATCATCCGGGTTGGATGAGGACAAATGAGGCTTTGCAAGGAAAACCAACTGAAGGCAGCCAGAGGGTGTGCCGGTGACAGGAACTCTCAACCAAGCCTGTTCTGAATGGAAGAGGCTTGCCCTGTGACCTGCTGATCTCACGGCTGCCCATGAGACATTCCTGTGCGAGTTGTGGTCTTCATTGTCCTCTTCATCGTCCTCTTCAGGGCAAAGACTTTTCTGTTTCTTCTGCCTGTGGCAGAACTCAGCACAGAGAAGGTCAGCAAGGGGTCACCCTCCCAGGGGCTGCTCAGAGAAGACATGGAAGCAGAGGCCAGGAGTGGCTGCGTGGGCCCTTCCTTGTCCACTCTGGGCCTGTTTCCTCACTTAAAAAATGAGGTCATTAAGCTGGGCCTTGGTGGCTCACGCATGAAATCCTACCTACTCAGGAGGCAGAAATCAGGAGGGTCAAAGTTTGAGGCCAGTCTGGACAAATAGTTCTTGAGACCCTATTTCAAAAGAACTCATCACAAAATAAGTGGTAAGAGCACTTGCTGAGCAAGCATGAGGCCCTGAGTTCAAACCTCAGTGTCACCAAAAAACAACAACAACAACAACAAAATGAGGTCATTAGAAGCTGGGTGTGGTGCACTCAGGAGGTTGAGACAGGAAGATGGAGAGTTCAAGGCCAGTCCGAGATACATAGCAAGACTCTGTCTCAAAAAACAAAACAAGGACTGGGGGCTTGGCTCAAGAGGCAGAGCACCTGCTTAGCAAGGACTATTTTGGTAGTCCTGAGTCCTACCAAAACAACAACAACGATAATAATAGTAAGAAGAAGAGGAGAGAAAGAGGAGGAAGAAGAAGTGTTGCGGGAATCTCAAGCTGAGATATAGGAGGGACACTGAGGCAATTAGCAGGAAGCGATGTTTTATTGTGCAGGCACAGACTCAGAGGACTCATGTCCAAAGGCTGAGCCCCGAGAACAAAGGGGTCTCACCTTATATGCCCTTGCAAGCAAGTTACAGAAGCAAAAAGCATAAACCATATGTGGTTATGTTCAATTCTATAGGCTACTTTACCACAGTGCCACGTAACGTTCCCCCTCCCCAGTGCTACGTGACCCTCTCCAAGTTCAAATTCCTCAGGTTTTATCTCTCTGCTATGCCATCCCTACCTCCCTGCTACTTTATCACAACTCAGGCCTAGTCTGTTTTCTTCTGATCCTCCTCCCTGCTACAGAAAAAGGAGGAGGGAGGAAGGAGAAAAGAGGAGAAGCAACTCAGGAGGCAGAGATTGGGAGGATCGCAATTCAAGGCCAGTCCAGGCAAAAAGTTAGTGAGATTCCATTTCAACCAATAAAAGCTCAGTGTGGGCAGGAATCTGTCACCCTGGCTATTCTTCCTGGGGAAGTGTAAATAGTATGATCATGGATCAGACCTGTACAGGCATAAATCTGATACCCTATTTGAAAAATAACTAAAAGCCAAGTGCCAGTGGCTTACATCTGTAATCTTAGCTACTTAGGAGGCTGAGATCAGGAGTTTCAAGGTTTGGGGCCAGTCCACACGAATAGTTCTTGAAACCCCATCTCCAAAATAAGCAGAGCAAAATGGACTGGAGTTGTGGCTAAAGTGGTAGAGTGCCTCAGGCACAAGGTCCTGAGCTCAAACTCCAGTGCCACAAAAAGCAATGATAATAATAAAATTAAATTTTCATTACCTTTCTTTTTAATTTTATTTATTTAATGTATTTATTGGTGGTATCGGGGTTTGAATTCAGCTTCGAGCTTGCAAAGCAGGTGCTCTATTGCTTAAGCC